CAAATCATTTATTATGTAAATGATGTAAATGATGTAATGATGTAATGATTTTAAAATGATTTTAAATGATTTTAATGATTTTTGAAACGATTTCATTTTAAATTTGTGACGCAAAATTTATATTAGTATCATCAGTGAATTTATATTAGTATCGTATATGAAATTTATATTAGTATCGTCATAAAAAAAAATGTATATAATAATTTTTAAATAATTTTAATAATTATTATATACTTCTTAGATCGGATCATCGCCCTTGTATAATTTAAAGGAATGAAATGAAACTTATCAGAACTTGATTAGTATAAAATTTGGAAAGGTCAGAAGTAGATTAGGAGAAATATTCGGAACGTTTTGAACGAAAATGGAAATAAAATTTTGCAAAATTACTTTGGGTTATTTGGGTTAGTACTTTATTATTTACGATCGTTAAATTATTTACTATTATTTACGATCGTTAAATTATTTACGATTATTTACGATCGTTAAATTACTTACGATCGTTAAATCTATATCCATTATAATAAAAAACAAAAACCTAATAAAAAAATATATATATATTATAAATTATTGGTACCCTTGCATTGTTTTTTATTATTATTCTAAATAATGATTTTTTTAAATATAGAATTTTTTTTTTAAAAAAATTTTAATTGGTACTTTATTGTATTATCGTATAGTTAGTATGTGAATTTTTTGTAAAAATTCGTTTGGACCGGCACTATTTATAATTTAGGCTAAACTTATAAGCATACTGTATGTCAGCTGACAAAAGTTGCTTGGCATGCACATCAGCATATTTCTTTGTTCAATCGATTAGTCGATTAGGGACAATAGAATTTAATTGATTAAGGACAATAGAATTATAGTATATCTGATATAATCTGTATATTGGTTATAAATAATTAAGTTTACTAATTTGGCCAGAGTTAAATAAATGACATAAATGACGTATTTACCAAAACTGACGTATTATTTTTTTCTTGTCAATTATTACTTTATGACTTTATGTAAAAATGATTCCATGTTATATTCTTACTTGATTACATATTATATTACACCTTATATTACATCAAAGGATTTTGACTGCATATTATATTCTTACGTCAAGGAACTTGACTACATGTTCTTAAAGTTATATTCCGATCAGGTGACATGACCTACTATAATATATTAAAGTTACCAAAAATTTTTTCAATTGACGTAATAAATACGTAATGTAATCGTATTTTCATGTTAATGATGGTCAAAAATTTAAATATTCACCTTCCATATAGTAATTATCTAAAAATAGTGGCAAAATAAAAAAAGAAAAGAAATAATATGAACCTTTCGTGCAGTGATTATCGTAAAAAGCTGGGGATATTTATTAATTCGAATTTTCTTTTTTAAAAAAAAAAAAATTATTGTATCAATAAACAATATTAAAGAAATTATTGTTTCAAAAAGATAATAATTATTATAAAATGGGTTTGAAATATTTTGGGGTAAATCATACGATTTTTTCTAGAATCACACATAATGTTTCATGTCAAAATTAACCCACCATAAATAATTTCATACATTACAGCATGTGGGATCGCGCGTAATTTAACTTTAATGTTTACTATTTTTGGCCATTGTTTCAATGCGTCAACACGTTCCAATCGTTCCATAAACAAAATCTACTGTACACAATTTGATCCAGATAAATTTATTCAGATCGAATTCAATCAATAATCACATATACCATATTTTTCAACGAAAGCGAGAGTTTTATAATAAAATGTTTCCCCAACTATATAATCCTTTTTTAGCGCGTCACTTTATGATTTAAAGCTCATATTTTAAAAAATGTTACGCAATATCCCATTTCGTAAATAATCAATTTATATACATTTGATTTTTTTTATTATAAATACTACCGTATTTCTTTTTTTCAATTCATTAATTTTTCTCTCGCTTTTTCTTTAATTCTTAAATTCTCCTAATTCTTTAATTCTCCTAAATCTTCAATTCTCTTAATTCTTCAATTCTCCTAATACTTAAATTCTCCTAATTCTTCAATTCTCCTAAATCTTCAATTCTCCTAATTCTTAAATTCTCCCAATTCTTCAATTCTCCTAATTCTTTGTATTAAAAAAAAATGTCGTTAAATAACTCAAATAATCTATTTGGTTCTTCTATTGGTTACAATTATATTATTCTTCGTAGACGTTATGAAAGAAATATTATTGTTGATAGAAGAATTCGTCGAAGAAACTTGTCTGTAAGACGCAGAATTAGAATATATGAAAGACGTGCGCAAGTCGATAATCAAGACACGTTAAATCGAATTGAACAAATTACCAAAGAAAAATTTGTAAACCAAATGTTTAATGGTTCTTCTTTCTATTAAAAAAGCTCTTTACATTTATCGTGTCGACGGTATCGTTAATTCTTTAATTCTTTTTAATATGACATGGGTAATCCCTGATCATCAGGAAGAAAATCCAATTTTTGTCACATATATTCATATATTATCACATGACACTTTACATGGGACAAATTTTCAAATATTTTTTAAAAATTCTTTTTTTAAAATTGAATTTTTTTTTAAAAGAAATTCTCATATCCCTTATAATTGTCATAGAAATTATTTCATTATGTTACACAATCATCTTAATTAAGAATTATAATTTTTTCTACAAAGAATCTGCAGCCATATGTGCATATCGCCCATCGAAGCATCCTTTTTTTTTTTATTTTTTTTAAACAAAGCAAAATAGAAATATATCTATTATAATAATAATTATAAAATATAAATAAAATTTTTTTTTTTTTATTGTATTTTAATATAATTTTTAAATTTATTTAAATTCAGTACTGTTATTATAATGAATTTTTTATTTTAATAAAAGTCGATACTTTGCATTTATGTAAATCTTGTCGAAATACAAATCAGAAATGGTAATAAATGTAATTCAATGGGTTATAATATGAAAAAAAAAAAAGTACTATAATTATGCATTCGATAAAAAAAGAAAAAATAAACAAATAATTTCTTTAAATAAATAAAAATAAAATACTATAAATAAATAAATAAATACTATATTATAAATTATATGCATTCGAATGTTCTTCGAATGTTCTTAAAGAAAAAAATCTGTGCGTCAATAAATCATATTATATACCACGTTCGAATCGATTAATAATGATTAATTAAATTAAATTAATTATGATATTATTTATTTTTTCATTTTAAAGTGATATTGTGATATTTTGAGTTTGTGATTTAGTTGGTTGATTTTATTTATCAAAGATTTGAAATATAATAAATATTGATTATCGTTATTCTAATAAATTAAAAGTTGGTACATTTTTGAAACAAAAAAAAAAAAATTACTGGAATAAATATTCTTTGTGAAATTACTATTTTATTTTATTTTATTATTTTTTTTTTAATTACAATAAAGAACGATGAAACTTAAAAAAAGTTAAATACGTCCATATAAAAATTACCTAATTAATAAATATGAAACCGATATAAAATTATGTCCTTATTTTTAAATATCATATAAAAAAAAATCGGTGTTAAAACATTACCTAAGAAAGGCAAAAAAACCTGTAAATCAGCGAATATGCCAATTTTTATTTTCCAAAGGTAACGAAATTCAATCACCTGCAATTATTTTGACCAATTTGACATAAAAGGTGGGCAAAGCGAAAATCAAAAAAAAAATCATAAACAAAATTTGTGTTTATAAAAAGATAGTCGAAAAGTCAGGTCACTCACAAGAAAATGGTAAGTTTTTCAATTAGATGGTAGTATGCTATATATTTAATATGACTAGATCTTCAAATAAAATTTCATAGTTTTTGACCGCAGTGTGAGAATTTTACATTATTAACATTATTAATATTTCATATCCATAAATATATTTTTTTGTATAATATTAAATGACTCATATTACCGTCCAGTTAAACCGTTAACAATATTCAAAATATCAATATTTTCCTTAAATAAACCCCATTATGAATTTTTTTTTCCGTAGGAAGAGAAAGAGATTGTTTGAAACTGATGGAAAAACAATGGATATATGTATCACGATCAATGTAAACATTATATCAACATTTAATTTTAATAATTGGGTGACACCTACGTTAAATTAAATTTTAATAGGTGATATCACCTCATCCCAGGTGAAAACTACCCAATAAAATTTACTATATATTATTTTTATAAGAAAAAATTTTTTTAAGATAAAAGTTTAAATCTTTATTTTTATTTTTTATTGATTAGACTGGGGTCTTAACAAGGCAGAAAGCCCAGTAGGTGAGATAAAAGTTTAGGTAGAAATTTGTTATATATATCACGTGACATACATGGGAGGTAAAAAAAAATTCATCTTATGTTCTAAATGGATGTAATGTAATTATGCGAATTTTTTTACTACCTTATGTTGTGCATTTGCTACCTGCCGTTAAAATTTCTGCAACAAATCGTCCTATTTATTGATTGATTAATAATATATACAATACTAATTATTAATTACTGTTTAAAAAAAATATTTTTTTTAGGTCGCATGACTCACATCCTTGGCTTCGAAATGTGATATTTTACTAAAATAGATATTGCATTGAATAATTTATTAATTATTAAGTACTACTTGATTATTTAAATATTAATCAACAGTTCATCTTTTTCATCTTTAGGCCACGTCTTAGTTTCGAAATGAAGCTGCCTTTCTGTGGCAAATCAAGTAAAAAATTTTTTTGATTTTATTTTCAGAAAAATTGGGTTTTTTTTGGTTTATTTTTTAAATTTATATTTCTTCATTTTTAAAAATTAATAATTTATTAAAAATAGCGTTAAACCGAATATTATCAGAATAAAATTCTACACTTTACTACCTACCCTAATAACTAAACGGTATATTTCTAACAGTTATGACATCAGGATTATGAATTCTATTTTTATTCTATTATAAAGACTGAACTTGAAATAATTTTGTATGTACATCAGGGTTTGCGTCCAATATTTAAACATTGTCGCTGCCTCTAAGCGCCTTACCATTGGAATCACTTTCATCATAATTGAGTCCAAATACTGATGCATATACGCTATGACTATCGTATCTATAAATACCAAATAACCTAATTATTGAAACTGTAGCTAGGGCCGTTGAAAATTTTGTTTGCCAGAAATTATTACTTAATAAATAACCATTCTCAACAGATTGAAGTATAATTATAATCGTAAAAAGAATAAGTCGGAGATTCTGGCGCCTTTGTATATAATTTGAAATTTGATTCTATCAAATTTCTTAATTTTGGCAGCCGAATTTTCATTAGCAATTCATAAAAATTCATAGCACTCGGAGAAAGAATCACTAGAGTCACTATTAACTTAAATATAATTTTCCTTATTTTTTTATCATTCATAAAATTTCTGTATGAATACTCATTCACGCAAAATTCATCAAACTATCAAGAAACCCTATTAGTTTTGTAAATATGTTCCCACCATGTGAATAGTAAATAAAAATTTACAACATGTATTGAGTTCATAATTATAATATCATCTATTACTTCTGCAAGCTTAGCAAATCTTGCCTTAATCCAACTCCCGATTATGTCAATATAATCCACGACTTTGTCGGTTTTGTCAGTCTTGTCAATCTTATTTTCGGTTTTGTCATTTCTAACCTCGATTTCGTCATTCATATCCCCGGTTCGGTTATTCATATCCTCGGTTTTGGCATTCATATCCTCGATTTTGTCAATCTTATCTTTGGTTTTGTGATTTATATCCGTCAATCTTATCCTTGGTTTTGCCATTTCTATCCTTGATTTCGTCATTCATATCCTCGGTTTTGTAATTCCTATTCTCGGTTCTGTCATTGGTACTGTCATTCAAATCTTTGGTATTACTACTGCTGAGTCGCGTAGCTATAATGGCGACTGCGATTCCATTGATAAAATCCCCAAAAATCTTGAAGCGGATTATAGTCTGTCATCGTAATTTATTTTCACGAAAAAATTGACAGGATTATTTTTGTGAGAAAAATGAGAAATTATTCTGTTTTTGATTTCTTTATAGACACCGAGATGGGTTTAATTTATTAAATATTGTGGATAACGTATAGTAGTTATGTGGGTAGGCACCATTTGTGCTTCCAATCACTACAATTATGCGGGTGGGCGGCATTTGTTTTTCAATTGCATAAACCAAATTCGTTAATCTAAATAAAAATTATGTCTCGCAATCACATAACTATTATGCGGGCAGGCGGCATTTATTCTTTCAATCGCATAAACCAAATTCGTTAGTCTAAATAAAAATTATGAATTAAATTCTTAATCTAAATGAAGATTATGCTTTCAATCTTCCAGCCAACTCATGTTGCACAAGCAGATCATGTGGAAAATAACCTATGACGTACTAACTTAAATACAAATAAACTTAAGTATACAGCATTCCTTCGAAAGCTATTTTAAGATATTATTCCACGTGATTATACACAACTAATCTGTATTTCAAAAGTAACTTTATTGCTTTAAATACACTGTGCTTCTATGCGAGTGTACAAATAAGATTGAAATTTTAAATAATTTTTGAGTAAGCACTAAGCAGGCGTTAAAGATTTATTTCAATATATAAACAATAAAAAAAGAACAACAATATTTATTTACTTTTTTTTTAAAAAAATAAAACTATGATATCTGATATTTGATATAATTTATAGATAACTTGATCAGTGACCCAATTTTTACCGATCTACAAAAAAGTAAAACAAAAACAAACGTTAATTGGTTATTTTTGCGATTAGTGACTTTGATCACATGTTTGGATTGGTTATTGGATTTTGTGATCATGACAAAACGATTGTTTTATTATGAATTTAATAAAGTTAGTACCTGGACCAGTCTAGATAAAAGGTTAATTTCAATCCAAGTAAATTCGAAGTCACTTCCTCTAGTATTATCATCATCGTGTTTTGTTGTTATTTCAGAAGTGATAATAACAATTGCTTTGGTAATGTCGTTGACGTTTGTTGGATTTTGTTTGAAAAATTCTTAATTTTTCTTTATAAATTGTTTAACTTATCATATCGGTATATGAGACTGTCTCCCACTTCTAAGATCAAATAAATATTATTATGTTTATAAAGCATAAATGAAAGAAAAATTAACTACAATACGCAAACTAATAATTTAAACTATTTGACTTCAACTTTCATATAAAAAGAAACTTCATTCAATATTATGTTCACCATCTTGACAAATTTCATTTAGATCTATAAAAGCATGATAGTTAGTAACACGCATTTTTTATTAATTTATAGTAAAAAATTTACATAAAATTTTATAAAAAATACATAGAGAACGAAACACTATCTACTAACTCCATAAATATGGATGCGTTATTAAAACAACACTATTAAAAAATTAACTAAGTGAACTATCTAATCTATATATCGGTTAATGTGTGTATCCCCATGTATTATTAAAAGGACTATTAATTAAAATATTATTCTTTTTAATATTTTTTAAGTTTTTTTGATTTTTTGTTTATTTTTTCTAAATTTTCTAAAATATCACGTTTCCCATCCTGCGTTATCGTTTGTTTCTTCTGTTCTTTTCCTTTTTTTCTTATCTATTTTATACCCTTCGCTTTCCCCGATTCAATAACTTCATTACATCTATTTAACCAAATAGTTTCTTATTTTTAAGCAATAATTTTCCAAAATTTCCTTAACAATTTTTCTTTCTTCTTTATTTTATAATGAAAAGCACGTGATTTTACTGCGGCTTAGTGTGCCGCAGTCATTTCACTGTATCGGATATTAACTAGAAGCAAGTATTCAACCTAAACTAACCTTCCTAATCCCCTAATCCTTATTTCATTCCCAAGCTTACCTTAACTTTAAGCAACTCTAATGTAAATATTAACTCCAAAGTTATTCCGCGTATAATAGTGAAATTCATATTTATTATTGAAGATAAAATGTAATATTAGATGATAAATTTTAATGACTTAGTTTACTTTTTGATTCAATTAATTCAATGATTTTATTTGTACTTCCTGTGTTTCCTTAATCCTTAGTCGAAATCAAGTGATATTCGCTTACCCAGTAATGTAATTGCAGTATAATTCTTGGTTATTGGATTATACATCTTCTAAGAGATTTGCAATTATTTCGTTCAAAAAATCAATAATAACAATTTTCAAGATATCAGCTTTTTTTATTTCTATAGGGGCTTTTCAGTTTTCTCAAATTATTGATTACAATTATTGCAAGTTCTTAATAAATGATGACTTAAAGATTTTACAACTGTTGCAATAGGTATCTTGTAAAATAAATCCATTTATATTTTATATTTCTTATAAAAGTTATGCTTAAATAACGATTTTGTACAATCTTGCAAAAGTATATGAGCGTCGAACAAGCAGTTCATTACTGGAAACTAACAGTCCCAGCTTGTCGAAAAGGAAGCGTCGAACAAGCAGTTCATCACTGGCCACTAACAGTCCCGGCTTGTGCTCAAAAAGTAAGAACTAATAACTAGGTTTTACTCGAATTACTTTATAGAAATATACCTTCCAACAGTCAAGGATTTCTTGAGTCTTTCTTTTGTGTATGACGCTGAATCCGGAATCTGAAGTTAAAAGCTAAAACAATACGACCGAAACTGCGCCATATATAACAAAATCACATGCTCATTAAATCACATGTCCGGACTTTTTACTTTTTGGCTAAAGTTTTGTCAATCATTTCTGTTGCCTTGATCAATTACAAAACAATTTGTACACAAGGCCATTTAAATCATAGATATTTACGGTCATATTGTTTCAACATAGCAATACAAAGTTGTGATGCATGTTGCAACATTACGCATAAATACATCCACAAGTTTAGTGACAGCAATATATTTTTATATGCTTTTTTTAAGACTCACTATATTTTTTTTAGTTGAAATTTAATCGTGGTCACATTCAATAATCCGGTATGGAAGAAATTAAGCTCAGTGGTGATGTATTTGAGTAGATAAAAGATTTTGACTATAATGAATTAACTAAGGAATAAGAATTATTCGTTGATAAGCTGATATTAGATAAAGAATTAAAAGAACGTTCAGTTATAAAGAGAATGGTTTATGCAAAGATTAACGAACTCGCTTATAACAGAATTTTCCAACACGTGACATTTAACCAATCAAATACGTCAAGTATCCCTCGTTATAACGAATCAGCCAATTAAATTCTTTGAATTCTTCACTATAATCTTGTGACGAATTTGAGATGAAAACCGGAGGGTTCATTATATTAAGAGCTGACTGTAGTTGGTATCAATATAAATTTCAACAAAATTTAAAAAATTGGTCTAGTGGAAATCATGAAGTTGATAAGTTGATTCAAAAAGTACAACCTAAAGCTAAAGATTATAATGAAATATTAGGGTGGATTGAATATGGTAGATTTGAAAATGTTGAATTTTTAGCCAAAGGAGGATTTGGAACTATTTATAAAGCAATTTGGAAAGATGGATATATAAGAACCTGGAATTCTAAAAATAATCAATGGAGAAGAAGTAAATATATTGATGAGAAGTATACAGCCTATTTTTTTTATATATAATTTTTAAGATTTTTTAAATAATTTAACTGACTAATAATAATAATTTTATACATATATGTATTTTTTTTAGATACTTCAATTAATTCACCTTGCGTAATTCGCTGTTAATTCAAAGTCTAATAATTTTATGATGGTGATGAGAATAATGGTGTAGTTAGCCGAAAAATTCAGCCGAAGGCGCAGTAAATTTTCGGCTAACAACACCCTCAGCTACTACTATTTACGGCTAACTACATTATTATTTTAAAAAAGTGTAGTTAACCGTAAATAACAAATATAACAAATAATTTAAGCGGTAATAGGAGTATAATTAAATTGAATACTAGATACTAGTATAATTAAAATAAATTTTGTTTGAACATTTATTATAGCTTAATAAAGTATAAATGATTATATATATTTTATTTATTATTGAAAGTTTCGGGGTGTTCATATTCTTCCCGTCACTTTTCTGCCCCCACGTGATTTTTTGTGGTACAGTTTGTGGTTGTTTTATTTTGTGTCACGTATATGTATCACATATATTACATACATTACATATTAAATTGCAACACGTATTGCGGTAACACATATTTCGTTTCAAAGAAAAATAAAAAACTTTTTAACCTTACAATCAAGAGAAAGGAAGTAAATGTAAGTTCGAACAAGGACAAGTTTATGGAGCAGAAGACGACAATTTGAATGAAAACAAGAAGCGTGAGTGACTAAGTGACACACCAGATTACCAGGGCTGAGTACGATAGCGAATAAACAATGATAAAAGTGACCACAATTAAAACAAAATTAAAAGGAGAGATTTGTTATATTTGCTTTGGAAAGGGTTGAAGAATGCGCGGACGAGTGTGGAATTTTCGGCCGATTTTCGAAAACGTTTCCAGTGAAGGGTAAATCTAATGGATTTCTTTTCTTTAATGTATTATGATAATTTATTTTTATTTTTCTTTTCTTTTTGTTTTATTTTTGAACGTTCACAAATTTAGATATATTTTTGAAATCAAAGGAATTTTACAAAAGTAGTAAAGTATCGTAAAAAAGAGAAAATTTAAAATCAAAAAAAAATTTATAAAGATTTTTAGTTTAGTAATAGCAATTTTTTAGGTTGATATACTGTAGATTCAACAATTAGAATCGTTAGTTATTTAGTAATTAGTTAGATCATGTAGATTAGATCATGGTTAGTTAATAGTTATAGAGCCTTTGGTGTTTTTTCATTAATGGTTCTAGATATTTGTATATTATAAAATCTTTGATTTAATTAATAAAAAATGCATTGCTAATCAAAAAAAAAAAAAAAGACAATACAACGATGTAATAGGACCGAAATAGGTAACAGGAGATTACTCATCTGGCCCGTCTGGAATTATCCCAAAAAGAAGAGATCTACACGTTATACATAAAAGGGTAACAAAATTCGCGTAGAATGAACCAAAATAATGAGTAGATCCTTCCTTTTTTTTGAATAATTCCATACAAGAGATGCGTAAAATGAGTTCTTTTTACCTATTTTAATAGATTTCAAAAATAAGTAAATATGACCTAAATTCTATTCCGGATTTTTATTATTTGATTCCTAACAAACCCAATTTCGCTTTTTCACATTTTAATTGTAATCATTTAAAGTTTAAAATCCTTCAATGGATAAGCTAATTATTTCTAATGAAAAATTAAACATAAAATGTGAGAAATGTAAGGAAATATGTGGTACAAAACGGTTTCAACAAAATTTTAAAAATTGGACTAGCGGTAATAATAATATTGATAAATTTATTCAAGATACTCAATTATCATATCATGATTATAATAATACAGCATTAGAATGGATACCTTATGATAAATTTGAAGATATTGAATATATTGCAAAAGGCGGGTTTGCTAAGGTGTATGTAGCTAATTGGATTGATGGACCTATATTAGGATGGGATGATAAAAATGAAAATTGGGATAGAGGATATCGAAATAAAACTGTGGCTTTGAAAAGTTTAGATAATTCAAAAAATATTTCATTAGAATTTCTGAATGAGGTATTATTAAAATATTAAACATAATTTTGAGATTTTCTTTTTTTTTTTACTAATACATTTTATTCTAAATATAGATTATATTACATCAGAAAATAAATTTTATGTCTAAGTTGTGTCGCATTCTTAAATTTCATGGAATAACTCAAGATCCCGAAACAAAAAATTATATAATGGTTTTAGATTATGCAGAGGAGGGAAGTTTACGAAATTATTTAGATAACAATTATTGTGAGTTAAGTTGGCGTGATAAAATTAGATGTTTACGTAGTATTGCAGGAGGACTTGAAAATATTCATTATAAAGAAATAATTCATCGAGATTTACATGTTGGTAATATACTAAGAGGTTTTGTAATTTGTATAACAGATATGGGATTATGTAAACCTGCAGATTACAATGCGTCAGAAAATACAGAAAACAAAGTATATGGTGTCTTGCCCTATATAGCTCCTGAAATTTTAAGAGGACAGAATTATACCAAAGCTTCTGATATTTATAGTTTTGGTATAATTATGTATGAAATAATTTCTGGATTGCCTCCATATCACGACGTAAGCCATGATAAAAATTTAGCATTAAAAATCTGTCAAGGATTCAGGCCAAGGTTTAATATTAAAGTACCTCAACAAATTGTCCACTTAATTAAAAAATGCTTAGATGCAAATCCATTAAATCGACCATCTTCAAATGAAATTAAGGAAATTTTATTGCAATGGATTTACTTTTATGATCAAACGGAATTACAAGATCAAATTAGAGAAGCTGATGAAATCAATAAGAAATTATCAACTAATAGAATACCCTCAACTAGTTTAGAATTATTATATGAAACACATTCAGAAGCTATTTATACAAGTAGATTACTTGATTTTAGTAATCTACCTGAACCAAAAAATTCTGTTGATTATTATGAACGATATGATAATATAGTATCCTTGGAATATTCAGGTATTATTTGGCAATTTTTGATATTTTAAAATTACCTAATAATATTAATAAATTATATTTCATTAAATTGTAGTATCTCAACAAATTAATATTTCTCAATTAGAATATGGTAAATTTTTTAATATTTTTTTTTATATTTTTTTGTTATATTTCATGATATTTAACTTTTGAATTTTATTTCTTTTTTATAGATCGAGATAATAAAAGTAACTAAATTCAGAACAAAATGCCAAATTCAAAACAAAATTGTATTTAAGTAATTCTTCGTTGTTAATTACTTTGTCGTACTATAAAACCTTTTTATTTCTTAAAATATAGTGGGAATCTCAAAAATTTAAGGCCACTCCAATTTAATAGTTTGTTTAACATACCCCACCCCCTCATTTTTGAAAAATTTTTAAAAATAAACAAACATATGTTATATCACGTGACTTATAATAACATCACCGATCTGTATAATATTTAAAAGAATTTCTTTCCAGTATAATTGAATCTACCAAAGAAAATGGTATAATTAATAAAAGTAATATATGTAAACTTATTAATTGCATTATCTGTAATAAATTAAGATGTATTTTTAGTAAAAATGCATTGAGTGATAAAGAAAAAACTATGTTTATTTTTAAATGTTTACTTAATTTGACCCCCTCCCCCCCCTCAATTTTTATATAAAGTTAGGACGTTAAACAAACTATTAAATTGGAGCAGCCTAATTATAATGATCTAATCGTTTAAAATTGATATTTAGAGGTTTGATAAACAGAAACCTTGACAAGAGCGACAAAAAAAAATGACCACTAAAATTGTCAATCAGACACATCACGTTACAGTCGTACGAACATTAGAATTTTCTCATATTTATTTTTATATTTAGTATTCTTTTATTTGGTATTTTTATATAAAAAAAATCCTTACAAAAATAAATATTTATAATTATGTATTTTTTTCTTCATGTGTATACTAATGTCATAAATATTTAAAAATGTGATATTTATCATGTAAAAATAAAGTTTGTGATACATTGTCTATTTTGAATATATTTTGGCTATATGACCTTAGCGGGTGAAAAATTACTTTTTTTTGGTCTATTATTTTCAGTTTTGCTAAGTTTATACTTTTGAATAATCTGTACACCCGTTAAATTACATATAAGTTATGGAAAATAATTATTTAAATATTTTAATTTTAGATTATTCGCAGTTATTTAATGAAAGTTAGAGAGATTCTTCTTTTCGAATATTGTATAATTATATCTAAAATTAATTAAAGGCTGATGTAAATAAACAATTAAAAGAAAATAATAAAACAAAGAATGACATTAATATTCTGACGTGATTATTATATATTATTAGATGATTAAATTATATTATTCTATATAATAGTCTAATAGCGGCACGTACTGAATAATTATTATAGAATACAAATATTTAAATACTTATGATTTCATTCATATTTTAAAATCTTACAGTTGGAATTATATGATTTACTCACATTAAAAATAAGTAAAATAAGATACGTTATACATTAAGTTAGATTTTACAATTTAATAGTCCAAGATTAGTTTATATCTTTAGCCTATTTATGGCACCAAAATATATTACTAGAAAATGGAAACTGTTAAAATCTGTCACAACTAAAGGACTAACAGTTATGCACATGACTTAGTTCAACAAAAAATGCTAAAGAAAATTATGGTTAACCTTTTTAGTAATAGTAATAGTAGTAATACTGGTCATGACGAAATAGCAAATAAAATTTTTAACAAGTCTATTACAATTATATAAAAATGCGGTACATATAAGTTACAGTAGTAAATTTAATCAATTTTTCAACCATCATATTAAGATAACTACACATTTTTTCCTGATGATTATGTAAAATTCGGAATGTTGAGTGATTATATTTATCGATAATCTCTTCCATTTTATTTAATAAATGTAATAACATCATGATTCTTTTAATAATTCATGGATAAATTCGGTAGTAATTATTCAAATTATGTAACGTCTCAAATATGTATATTTCTATTATTAAACTAATCAATGATTTATATTCCTAGGAAATGAAAAAAAATTTATGTAAGAATTAGTATAAGATTTTTATATACTCGCGTTCGTGTAAGAACTCTTTAATTACCTAACCGAATTCTATCACCTGCAAGGACGATTTTAACTTGCGCCCGGGGTCTAGGTTAAGCTTCCTCCCCCTGCAAACATGCTAATTAATTAATCTCTTTAAATAAACAAATGATATTAAGAGAGTAATGTAAGATAAAAAAAAATTCTGGAATATTGGTTAATAATATTTGTGTAATTAATCAATTGATTCTTATTGAAAAAAATGCAAGTTCTTAATAATGTTTGCTTGATCAAAAAACTTTTAAGTAAAATATTTATAAAAGTTTATCAAGTTCGTGTATATAATTTTAAAATAGTTTGAAAGCCTTTTGGTGATTTTTATAATTTAAATTATATAAGCCAGGACATTATTGTAAATCCTTTGCTGAAGAGGAGCGGTAAAATATTATACTCATATGTTGTACGCGATCACATGAAATTTTGCATCACTATTATATGTAATTAATTTTCAAATTTTCCATAGATCAGATGACTGATTAACGTATTGATGTTAATTCATCTTTTTTTAAATATAAATCAAAGGTCATATAACATGCAAATTGTCCAAATTAGTATTATGTCATTGTACAAATATTAAATATTTTCGCTTCTTTTTTT